AAAAAGAAAGAATAGAGCTCATAGAAAACAGTAGGAAAAATAACACACAAACCTTCTTTGGAAGAGCAAACAAAGTTAAACTTGGTTTCAAACGCAGAACAACAATGATTATAGGAGATGATGGAACTTTATTTACCGAGAACGTAAAAATAGCAGATGCGTTTAAAAAAATGTTTAAGACTCTATTAAATCAACCCAGTAGAAACACAACCATCGAAAAACGTGCTTCAGTAGGGAATCTCATTATTAAATTTTTCATAAAAAATATTGTTTAATATTCTACTCAATAGAATAAAACCTTATTTACACGAGATAATTAGAGATTACCAGGCAGGATTTATGATAGGAAAATCAACCTTGGATCAAATACATAGGAAATTTGGATATTGATGATTACAAATTTTAAAGAGTGGATAATTTCAAATATTTAGGGATAGACATTAACAAGGACGCCAAAAGCCACGAGGAAATAAATATACGATTAGTAGCGGCAAACAGATGCTATTTGGATTGGTACCTTTTTTTAAATTAAAGATTTTATCATTTAAATCAAAAATAACACTAAGGACACTAAGTCCTAGGAGACCAGTAGCCTTGTATGCATGTAGTACGTGGGCTACAACAAAATCAGATGAACTCAAATTAGCGTTCTTTGAACGGAAGATATTAAGAAGAATCTATGGATCCAAAAAAAAACAATGAAGGTGAATATAAGATGAGGACAAACCAAGAGATTAAAGACCTATATGGAGAAGCAACCACCAATGGGGTATTAAAAAGTAGTAGATTGAGATGGGTTGGCCACGTGTGGAGATCAGAGAAAATAATTGGATAAGTTAGAGAATGGAAACAAAACACAAAAAAACCAAGAGGACGTCCCACACAAAGATGGAAGGATAGAATGGACAAGCACTTAGAAGAGCTTGGAATTGAGAACGGAGTTGAACTGGCTAAGGAAAGATATCAGTGGAGGCAAGTGGTTGATGCCGCAGTGGGCCTAAATGGCTTGTAAAACGCCATAGAAGAAGTAAAAGAAAATACTGAGCGGAGGCTTAAGCTATAAGTTATAAAATTCCTTTAAGTTTTTAATTTTAAGAAAATTTAACTTGTATCTAAAATAATACTTAATAAATATGTTAATACTTTGATGTTTACCTCAATATCATTATTTTACTATCTGTCTTATACATTATATATTAATAAAATAATATTATAATTTAATAATGAATATTACTTGAGAGACGAGTTTGGGGGGGGGGGGCAGACCCCCACATTTTTTACTTATTTTAAACATGTTAGGGTTGAAGTCCCCTCTAATCTTAAGATCAAGTTATGCCTATGGTAATAGGTACCTATTCAAATTGACTATGACTATCTTCTTTCAAAATACTTGAATTTAAGAATTATTAATAAAGAACATATAAAATATTTTGAAGATAAAGCGTTAACCATTTGGAAGAAACGTTTCCTAAAATAAACAACGATAATAAAATAAAATAAATTATATATCATTCATCAAAAAATGAAGTATTGAGTATCTGTTCTATGAAATCTAAAATTAATTAAAAAAAATACAAGTAAATGTAAATTTATGTGTTTTTCTATCGAGCTATACACCTACCTAGTCCATTCTATGTAACTTGGAACATAATAAAACAAAATGTGAAACTCAACAATGTAAACACAAGTTTTTTTTTTTTTTCAACCCGAAGGTTGGTTTACAACTCCAATTCTCCATTCTAACCGATTCCTCGCCTTTTCTTTGAGTTCTTTGAAGGTTTTGACTTTTGCATTGATTTTAATTTGTCCTATATACGAGTTCCGCGGGCGTCCTGCAGTTTTCTTTTCTTCTATCATACCCTCCAATATAATATTATGCAATTCTTCCTGGTGTCTCAGGGCATGTCCAACCATTTTCCAGCGTCTTCCTCTAATCGCATCTATGAGTGTACGTTTTTCTCCCACTGTTCTAAGTACTTCTTCATTCGTTTTCCGCTCTATCCAACTTATCCTTTCCATACGCCTCCAGCACCACATTTCGAACGCTTCTATTTTTTTCTTTTCGGTATCATTTATTTCCCAAGTTTCACATCCATATGTTGCAACACTCCATACATATGTTTTTATAAGTCTCTTCTTGATATTAAGATGTATCTTTTTTGAAGTGAGCAACTTATGTTTTTTACTAAAGGCAATTTTTGCTAATGCTATGCGTTGTTTAATCTCGTGGACACTCTTGCCATCAGATGTGATTTTACTCCCTAGGTATACCATTTCTTCTACCTGTTCCAGTTTTTGATTACCAATATATACATCAGCTTTTACTTTTGGGTCTCTGGCACAGACTAAGATCTTCGTTTTTGTACTAAAGTTTATGAATAATATATTATATGAAAAAACTTAACAAAATATATTTGCAGTATAACGTTTGATAATAATGACCGATGAAGAATACTTCTTATGAATTTTAATATCAACAGTGATATAACAATATAATTGGTATCCACACGAACCGATTCGAGTTAAAAATATAAGACGATGACGACTAACCAATGCATTTCAAATAATTATCTCTTTTTGTAAACACGTATGTTCATTATACTTGTTACATAAAAAGCGACTATTGAGTTATCAAATTTCAAACTATGGTATACGTCGCTTTGCAATATTCTGAATTTTTAGTTAATCGTGTACGAGATATTGAAAAAATTCACATCCAATGGTAGAGTTTTAACCTCTGTAAATAGTTATTGCAATGCAGTTAAAAAATAAAACAAAATAAAAACAACTTAAAACCAACGTCGTGCCGTATAATATTTCTGTTATGATATTACAATTGAAATAACTTTTAGTTATTACTAATATGGACTATTGATGCGTAATACTCGTATATATGATAAACTAAACATTTACTTACCTGGTCATTGAATATATTAACACGCTGTTTAATAACGTTTAATCTATTCTGGTTAACTGTCGAGCTTCGACACGATATACTCGTATATACACAATGGTACTTACGAATCATGCTCTCGAAAACATGTTTAATTATTGAAAACTAACCTTGATGAAATAAGTTAAATCGAGTTCATATTAATAATAGTTTTGAAGAAAAGAAGAAAGTAACGAGTGATTTCGGCGGTATCGCGTGATAATAAAAAAAAAAAGAAGAAAAATCATATTTCCAACATATGGTTATTGCAGCCGATTAATGTATTTTAAATAAAACTACTGGTACATTACGCAATTGACTACGAAATGTTTTGTCGGAATCTCCGACCCTACGATCAGCGTAGAAGCTTGAATTCTGGGAGTGACAAAATTTAAAATAATTAAATTGAACGGTATTACGAGTATATAATTAGATATAAATAAACACTATTTTTTTATTATTATATTATAATAATTTAATACTTGAATCACATTGTAAGGTAAATTTATTATTTTATTATTAGTTTCTGTAAAAAAATTAATAACTTTGTCAATAAATGTAGGATTTATATCTAGTTCTTTGTTTTTTGGGGACCCAGATATTTAATCGTGATATCGATAATATTTATTCAATACAAACTATGAAAACACAATAAAGTACAAAAGCTCTTTACAGCAGGTGTAAGAACATTAATGAGATAAAGAAAATTAATAAATAAAGAGTAAATAATTCTCGGGCTCATTTTGGTTGTGTGGATTTATTATGAAAACTACCTATCTATCTATATATAAATGTATACTTGATTGATTAATGGAGTAATGATAAATAAAATTTAATTATAGGACTGAAAATTTTAATATAAAATGCTAACGTATTTTCAATAAACAGTGTACATACAATCAAAAACTGGGTAGACAATTATATCTTTGTCTCATAATGAAGCTTCGTCACTACCTAAAGTTTTCAATATAGTTGTTTAGTGAATTCAAGTAGGTGACGGCTATTGCTACACAGATTTCAGAGAGAGTTAACTGCAGGGAAGAGGGGTGGATTGCAAAATACGCGATGGTCTATTTTAATACAATTTTAATTCTGTTCGACTTCACAGAAAAATCTAAGAAAAAGAAGAAAATAAAAACAGTATACACTAACCATAAGCCCAAACCGTATAACTATTGCGACGATTAAAATATTTCTAAAACGATTCGATGGTATTTTCCATATTTTCCATTTCTCTATCATTGGTTTTCGTCGGTTTCTCGTCATCAACGTCCCGTTAGGGAAGTATACATTCGGATAACCTCGAGTTAGGTCCTAAATTTCAAAAATAGCATGAATTGGGTCCGGACGTATTTTATTGAGAATACGAGTTTGGTCCATCCTATTAGCGTTACCCAGAGAACACTACGTAGAGGTTAGGTTGACTAGAAAGTCTTCCAAAAAATTGGTTTTTTGTTGTACAAAGATACGATCTGATGTAAACATTATTAAACTATTAAAATTATTATTTAATTAGAATTTATTTTTTGTGTGTAAAATTACGAGTATTATTAAATTGGCTTAATTTTAATTTATTTTTATTTTTATCACTAATAAATTATTTAAAATTATAAAGTTTAAATTACGGAAGAAATTTAAAATACACATATTTCACAAGAGTTAACCGGAGGGTCTGTTGTTAACTATTAAAACAAACCATATTTTCTCTTAAATTTTTTTTTCTGCTGCCATGGCATGCCGTTAGATTTTATTAACGGACTCCGTCTTGTACACGTACCGGTCTACTGACTACTACTAGGAAGTTACAATATATCATCCGGCGATAACCGTCCGGATACGCCGACATGGGAAAACTTGGGTTGGGTAATTAAGATAACACCAAAATAAAATATCACCGTGAATCCAATATAAGTATTATCAAACGTGACCACGGAATCAATTCAAATATTATTATAAATAAAATCGCGAACCAAACTCGTGTTTATTTTAAGCAAACATCTCGGGACCAAACTCAAGAGTTGCCGCAAATTCGCGCTGGGAATCGATTATTTTCGACATCTCGTCTCACCTATCCAGTGTACCGGGTATGTAATTTTCGATGAGTACGTGCGACCGCTGGGCCAACTTCTCCACTATCGTTTTGCCGTCGGGATGCCGGAAGTCCACGCACACACTCCTCTTGTTCCGATTTAACGACGCGAAGTACAGGCTCAGGCGACCGTCGGTGGCATCGGAACCCTGGAAATCCACGAACGGCGGCCCGTAGCCACGGCTGTCGTCGCCGGTAGTCGGCCTCTCCACCTTGATCACGTCCGCACCCATGTCGGCCAGGATCATCGAGCAGTAAGGACCCGCGGCCACCCGGGTCATGTCAATCACTTGCACGCCGTCCAGCGGTCGCGAACCACTACCGCAGTTGCGGTTGAAAGCCACGTCTGCCGGCGGTGACGGTCGGACGAAAAGCGCACGGCGGACGAACATGACGTCAGAACACGGTCTACAAATTTTGTCTGTATGAACTCTACTCCCCGGTCTCGTCGCGTAGATCCAAGCGTCCCACGATTTGCTCTGAACGGTCCCTTTGAATCGATCCCGTCGATAAGCGTACCACACATGGATCCGTATCAATCTCAACCACGCGCCGAACGTGGCATCCGATAACGGTACGTCGATCCCGTGCCTCTACGCGATCAAAGACGAAAAGACGACCGCAGTTACGACTCCGCCAACCGTTTTGAACCGTCCAGTATTTTGTACAATCGTCGTCGCGACACCGATCGTGCAATATTAAAGCGTTTACGGTGCAGCGTCACACTGAACTGCCTCAGCCGTTATCAGTTTTAACATCGTTATCGACAATGTGCTGCGGCGGTTCGACCTCGCCGAATGCGTGCGCACCACGATTGTTTCGTTGTTACGTAACCGTTCAATTGTTCACCATCAAGTCGTGTAGGACCGCTTATGACAACGTCTGAATGTTACACTTTAGATTAGTTCACGTTCTGTAGAATATTGAAACTTCTGAATGACGGACGCCCGCGGGTGACTGTCAGCAATCACCGCTGATGAGAGGCATTCGCTGTTGAGGAAAACAAATAAAATAATTCCAGTGTATATGTGTCTGTAAAATCACATTTTCTTAAAGAAAACATATTACTTTGGGTGCATTGGTAAAAATGAAAAATATTACGTTTTGCATTTTACGTTTTTAAACTTAATACATAACTCGTGGCTGTCCTTTTTTTTCACCTACCGTAAATCGTCTATAAATAAAAGTAATGCTTACACCGTACACATTAATAAACAATACTCGAATTTATATTTTATGAGGACGCGAATAAAAAATGCTCAAAAAAAATAATAAACATCTAATTCACGCTTATAATTATTACGTTTTAACCATTACAATATTTAAAAAAGCTGTAGAATATGTACACTAGTCTATCGGTTGTAAATATTTATAATAATCCATCCAATTCCATACCTACATTTCGTTTTAATTCGTTTTTTGTAACACATATAAGAATACACGTTGTAATATATGAATAATTACAGTATTTATTCCGCTTGTAAATAGACATGAATACCAATGAAGATATTCACTTATGCGTTTATAGAATTCAGATAAAGAGCTCACATTTTTTTTCTTCTAATTTTATGTTATCGAATAGTATTAAATAGTATTAATTTGCAAGGTGTTATAATCTATCCATTATTTATTGGTCATATATTGTTTTGCTTAGTATAATATAATTTAACGTAACTACAAGATGCAACTGAACCTTGATTCGTTTATATTTATACCTAACACATGTGTATATTAATGATATGAAATAAATCCGGATTGTAATTTCGTACACTGTGTATACGTATAAATCATAAAAACAAAGAAAAAATTAAAAGTAATAATTGATGCATCATCGATACTTGGCGACCGTGTACCTAAATAATGTGATTTTGTAAATTTTAATTTTAATACAAATGAAATAATATCTTCATATTTTCTTTGGTAAATAAAGTAATCGCTACCTTTGTAATAAAGTAGAGCAATTATTGTTTTTGAACACTTTAATTTATTATTGTTCACCTTAATCTAGTAATAATAAACAATTAAAGCATGAAATTAGTATAATAAAAAATTATGTTATAATAAAATGGAAACATTCTGCAGTTCTGAACATCATTTTTAATTATGAATACACATAAAATTGATATATTATTATGAAAGCGAATTTCATAAATTTCTATTATTTTTTATAATTTTCGAAGATCAAAGACATCTGGTTTTATTTGATTTTAGTCCGAAAATGTATAAAAATGCCGTAATTTTTTTTATAAAAATTATAAATGTGAAATACTATTATATACCCTTTGGTATTCAATAAATATAATATTTTAAACAAGGTGATGTTTTTGATACGGCAAGGATCGATTAATTGCAGTTATTTCATTAGAAGTATTTTTCAGTAAAAAACTTAATGCAATACACGGATCGTTGTTACCAAACAAAAAAATGATTAATCATTGTTTTAAAAAAGTAGCTACATGAGCAATAGAGAGTCAAAGCGCTTGAAATGTCTTTGTCTGAGTAATGGCTATTATTACTATTATACAATACTTCCACTTATTATTTCAAGTGAAAACCGTTTTTATTCCAAACATTTTAATCAGTTAATATAGTGTTTCTCAGTGTGAACCCATATACGGAGGGTCGCATATGTTAGAAATAATTAAACAAACACTGATGTAAAAAAACAACCTTTAAAATGAAAATAAAAAATGAAAAAGTTAGTTTAAAGTAGTAGTACACAATAAACTTCATTTCAATCATATAGCAATTCAAAAATTTGTATTTTTGTTTTGTTAATGGTTAATAATATAATATATAATATATTTTGTAACTAGTAAAACAAATACAAGCTTAAATTAGTTTTTACTATAAGAAGGAGATGGCTCGTAAGGTGACTGATTTTAATTTTACCAATTTTGTTGGTCACAATGTTAAAAAGGATGAGAAACGCTGAGTTAATATAAGAATGTGAAACAAAATGCACGCACATGCGAACAAGGTTATACCGGTGAAGTACGGGGATAAAGTTTTCAAAACATATGGATTATATTTACTATAATGAAGAAATATTCGTCCACATTATTGAATAACAATTATTATATCAATATGTTCAGGACTCTGATATAAAAAACCGTAAGCCTTTCTAGTGAAAAATAAATTAAAATATTTGATTCATACACATACATATATCCAGATCAAAATATTTTTCATATTTAAACAATATTAAACTATTATCAATATGCTATTATCACTATAGTCGAAATTAACTCGTAATCATATATCAACGATAGCGAGTACGATATTATGAGTACATTTCAACAAATTAATGTATAATTTATTAATGTTTCCGTCAGAAAAAAAGACCTATCATTTTTAATTAATGATTAATCAATAGGTGTTATAGTAATAGAATGTATTATTTAATTTTGATTTCTAAAACATGAATTACAATTATAATAATAATAGTGAAATTTACAATGTAATGTAAATGTAGTGAAATATAAAATATAATTGGTGTCCGGACTAACCTAACCGAACAGTACAGCTTATTCTACGAAGATACTACGTGACAAAATCAGACAATAATTCAAATTTTATAAGTTAAGCATTAATATTATATAATAATATAATAATATTAAGCATTATATGTTATAATTTAAAGTCACAATGATATAAAAAATGTAAATACAAACTTCAACACCATTTTATCGAAATTCATTTTTCAAAGCTCTATGAGATATAAAATATAATATATATATGGGTTTATTCTACTTTTTATTGGTTATATCTATGACGTAGTATCATAAACCATAAACAGTGAGAAATGAATATGAACGAGTGATGAAAAAGATAAATATTCTAGGTCCAAGTCTTGAAAACTATCGTATGTAAATAATAATTAGTTATTAAAATATAAACGTTTTGATTTTCAGGTGTTTCAGTGGGAGCAAGCGTTTTTACAATAGCTGCAATGAGTATAGATCGATACTTAGCCATCGAACATTCAATGTCGTTCAGAAAGGTGCTCAATCGAAAATCAACAATCTATGTAAGTCGTAAAAATTTAAAATATATTTGAAAAATATCAATAAATTTATAATATTTAAATATTAAGGTATTTAACAGTTGAATAAATATCGTAGTTCACCATGATACATGATAAATAATTTGTAATTAAATTAAAAATTGACTTTCAATTATCACTATAAAGTAAGTACTAAATCTTTCCGAAAATAGATTACACATTATACATATTTTTTTAATAAAAATAGTATATCTTGGATTAAATTGAATTTTATTTTTACACAGTGCAACGTAATGTAAGTGTTTTATTTTAAAATAAAAAATTACTTCTTTACTATCAACTGAAAGTAATTGTACTGCTTCGTTATTACACAGGGTGAGAGGACTATTTACGAGCAAAAAATAGAAAAGAAAATGGAACGACAAAATTTTTATTTTATCTGATAATGGGAAATTAAAATACACTATATACTATCATAGGTGTGCGCAGACTTCAAATTCCGGTCGAGCTTGAATACAATTAGTGCCCCAATACTTAGACAGTACCCCTAATTTTTTTCTAACATAGTAGATTCTATTGTAAATTAAAAACAATGTAGTATTTATATCTATATATAGAATCAGTAATATATTGCTAATTTTTAGATATATTTTTGAAGTTAAAAGTAAAACTTTAAATTCTTTAAAATCAAATGATTTAAATACAATTAATTGATCGTGGAACGACGTGTTGTAGGATTGGTGGAGAGTAATATACGTCTCGTATCATTAATCATGCAATAATAATAATAATAATAAATTAATTAAAATTAAAAATGTAATCCATGTAGATGTATACGTTACATGTTATACAGTATTATACGAGTACAAACCTATTTTTCATACATTTCAAACTAAATGTATGAATTTTATTTTCTTATAAAACGTGCAAAAATATAAAATTCGATTTAAAACGTAAAACAACGTATTTTCAGTTTTTTAGCAAAGGATAATAATTGGAACTTACCTGTGACGTGTGAAATATAAAATTAATTAATTGTCAAAATCTCAATCATTATTTAGTATCCTTTGATACAAACTATTATTTTCGCTTCAATAATATTTTTATACCTAAATAAAAATTTTAAACTAAAACATGGATTAATATAAAACAATGAATTTATAATGATAAATAAAAAATATTTATTGTACTATATTATGAGGTGTATTATTTTTTATTAGGTTTAAATATTTTTAATTGACTAATATTTACAAACAATACTACTTATCGATTTTTTTTTTTTACTTTCGAAATCCAGATTACAGATATTATTATTAGACTTTTAATACACGTAGGAGTGAGGATTGGAATATATCATAAATTCTGATTAATATGTACTGAGTTATTCAAATTCTATTTTTATTTTAAAATAGAATTTACGAATTTTTAATTATTTCAGAAAAATCCTAAGTATAATTTTTTTTCAATTAAATATAATATATTTGTATTCATTATATTTATTAATCAATAACCATGATTTAAGGATATATCACATTTCATTTATTTTAATTTATCTTTTGTTAAAAACATTAGTTCTATTACATTTTTTTGTGCCTGTGCAGGAGTGACATAAGGGCCCAGTTTATATTCTTCAAATTTTAAATCACACCTCTATCCAGTGTATACTATATATTATTATTATTATTATTTGTTATACACATTTTTCAATGATTAATAATTCTTCCTAAAAATTATAATGTATTACAAAACTTCAAAATTTTCGTTTTCGCCGTTAAAAAATTTCCGCCGGAGACAACTGCCTCCTTTCACCTCTTAAACTGACACTGTTGATGATATAAGGATTTACTATTAGTATATTGAGATACAAAGGAACGAAGTGGCACAAATTAAATGGTTTCCCGATAAATCTATTTTTCATTTCAACGTGCCATAAAGTTGTACTCGAACTTCGAACCTAATTATTAATTATAGTATTTTATTTAATACAACGAGTTAATGGGCAATACCTATTTTCTTGCTGCATCTCTGAATCTAAAATTTAAAGTCAGCATTTATTTTATCCATGTAGGAGAGTTTCGAACTTTGTGGTTTTAGAGCGTAATTTTCGTTGAAGAAGTTTATTTCTATTACAGAACTTTCATTATACTTCGTTAAAATATATCCCGAAATACTATCATTGGTGTTATTATACGAGACATTTTACTGTAAAATTTCATGAACAAATTGAATAAAATTCAAATTCTATTTCCAGAACAACAGAACATAAATTAAATATAATAGGTATTATCAAAGACAGTTTGGATGGGGTGGCGAATGTTTAAAAATGACAATGATTTTATATGTAAGTGAGTAAATCAATGATATTATTATTGAAATCTGAAGAAGACCTGTATATTTTGACACAAACCGATTCGATTTATATGTATTTAACATAAGTTATATATAATACTCATTTTAATCATGAAAAGATATTTTTTTTCGAGATTAAGCGTCCCGTTAACCCAACTAATAATATTTTCTCATCAAATACAATCACGATTTATATTTCTTATTTTAGTACAATATTATATTAATAAGACGTGATTCATCAGTAATTTAAGCGTACATATAAACGTAAATATATTTTACGTGAGATAAAAAGCTTTCAGTGTAAATTCGTAGAAGAGACTTCTTTTGTTTTTCTATTTTAATGAGAAGAGTATTATATACCGGTATTAGTGAGTTGCGGCCCGATCCCTAAACAACGTACGAATTGCGGCACGTGTTTATGAAACAGACGTGCGAGTTGCGGCCTGTGTTTATAAAACAGACGTACGAGTTGCGGCCACATTTTACATTTTATTTATCACTTCATATCAGCCTATCAGCGTTATCCAGAAGACAACACGAGGAGGTTGGCTGAGTCGTCTCCCAAAAATGTATTTTTTTTATTTATGTAAAAATGGCAAAATGTATGGTAATTTATGGTAAAATGAATTTTAATATTTATGTAAAATATGAAAAAATATATATATTTATTGGTTGGGCAAAAACTTAAAACTTAATGATTTGATGAAATAAAACTGCTCTATTTCTTTTTGTGCTAGCTTTGTTATCTGTTGTCTTATAAATGCTTCTTTTTCACGTATTTTCTTCGTTTTTATTCCATTGCTTCTACATTTGATATATGTTTCTGATTGAATTTCTACTAACACATCAATAAAATTATAGATGTTAGGATGACTAGAGTAGAACGATGAATTTAGGTGTGAATGAAAACTTTCACAGCCGTTAGTGGTACGGTTAGCAGAGAACTGTGCCCAAATATTTGGAGGAAACATAGCATCCGGGGATATATAGTTTTCGAAAACATAGTCGGTAAATTGTACAACCCAATCATCTTTAGCGGGCAGTATTGCTAAAAAGTCATCCGTGAAACAATCAATGACGTTGTCAGAATCCAAAAATGGCAAACCAAAAAAAAAATTATGATTAGTATTACTGTCAACTATTTTATTTAAGGGAGATAATTTTAAAAAGCACTTACAACTTTTGACACTGCAAGGCCACCGCTGTACATCGGTTTTTAGTGTTTTGTGGAAACGAAATTTGTAGCCTTCGTAGAGAATAATTGGTTTTGATTTTTCACTATTTACAAACTCCATAACGCACTTATATTAAACTGTATAACACACTCAAACAGAATTTTTAGTTTTCGTAGATATAGATACTAAGTGGTGAACAGACTAACACTGTAATATTTTTCGTTTGAACTACTGACGTTATGGTATCTACTTTAGATAAGATACTGCCGATACTGCCGGCACAAAATTGAAAATAAATAAATTTCCCGGGCCGCAATTAACTTAGTGATAAAATATGACCGGGTCGCAATTCACCGGTCTTCAACACGTAAATAACATGTCGGGCCGCATCTCACCTATAGCCTTATATACGATGTACAGTGTTTTATTTTTTCGCTGACATAAATAAATTCAAAATGATTTTTTGTTAACATTTGTAAAATGTTAAGTTTTTTGTTTAGGTATAAAAGAATATTTAATTATGGGATAGAAAAAATAAAAATGTTATATCATAGATATTGTTTTATTCTTTGAAGCAAAAAATAATCCTCTGCTATGAATTTATTATAAATAGTTTGTCCTAGGCAGAATGGTTTTTTTGCCTAAATATCGTAAGTAAATGATTATTACGCGTCACACATTTACATAAATGCGCCTGTACTGTAGCCCAAATTGTAGCTGATTGTTAGGCTCAGGCATATTTTAGAGTATTACGTCCATTAAGGTCATATATTATAATAATGTCGTTTTTATGTTACGTAAATGCAATAGAACAACAATACTAAAAGTGTATTTTATTCTTTATTGTAATATCACTTTCTCCTTAATTAGTAAAGTGATTAAATAAATAGAATAATATTAATATTTACCAGGGTTCAGGACTTTGCATTTGCTAATTTTTTTTTTGGTTTAACATAAAATCTAGCTGAATGAGAAGAAAAATCATATCAGATTATAAAAATGTTGCAATATAAAATTTTAAAAATGATTTTATTTACATATTTTGATGGATTTTTCAACAAATTATATTTTTCTGGTTTTTTATTATTTTTACTTTAATGTGCACTTTGCTAAATTAACACGGGCCATTGATATAAATTAATTATCTTTAATTATTTTCTAATTTTTTTTTTTTTGCATGTTGACGGTAAAATCAGAACTGAAAATAATAATTGTTCTCATATAATTTTTTATTCCTCTTTAATTAATCAACTTTTTATCGTAATTGTGTTAACATTGTGATAACATCTACATTTTACATCTAACCGTAATAATATGTCGTTCAAAGCTAAAGAAATTAGATAAACTATTAATATTCGTGTTGGAATATAGTCCAAAAAATTAATATTTAACCAAATAATTTATACCATTTGGTACAATTTTTGGGCCTTATATCAAAATCAATGTTCAATCGTACATCACGATTTTGATTAGTGTATTTAGTCAAAATTCTACTTTCTAGAAATGTATCCGAATAATATTTAAATGTTTCATAATTAGGGCTGTGCGATTAATTTAATTTTTTAATCGATTATTTTTAACAATATTAAAATATCCACAAATAATCGAATAATTGAAGAATCGAATAATCGATTATTAATTGAAATATCCGAAAATAATCAAATAATTGAATAATCGAAGAAAAAAGTTTATTATTAAATGAATTATAATGAAAAATATGGCTATTTTCCATTTATTTTAATCTTTGCTATATGTTTATGTAGTTTATCCGTTTTAATCTGTCGTTATTCAATGAAATGTCTTCATTTAAAAGGTGACTTTGGATTTTGTTTTCGTTTATTTTTAGCAATGGTTATTCTTTTTCTGGAAACCGTCGATGAAGGCGATCTGCCACGATGATGTATTTTTAGTAAAGGTGGTTGTGTATTAACTGACTATAGATCGTCAGTAACAAATTAACATGCAAGCCAGCTAATTTTTCTATCCGTGAATAAAGATTATATAGCAAGCACTAGTGTTTTAAATATGTATAATATTAATTTTAGATTTAAGTTAAGACTCAAAACCGAAGTTTAATGTAAACAGTTATTTTGTACAAAAGATGATGTTATTTTATTTATGTTTTTTTTATTTAATAAAACTTTTAAATCAGGATAATTATTTAATTATTACTATTATTAACACGTTGATGGACAGCACATGCTATAGCATTCATGATTTTTAAGTCATACGTTTGCATGACTGTCATAGCATTCGAATTCTAAAACGCGGTTTGTACCTTATATTTTTAGGTTATGATATTACTTGTTTTATTTATATGGTTTATAACATGTTTAGGAACACTTTATCACGTGCGCTCGTCCGGCAAATCTTGTTATCTTATGATAACATATTATTCTTTCAACATTGTTTTATCATATGTTCATAATATAAAATAACGTATATAAGAACATATTTTATTATATTTAATTTAACATTGCTAGCTGTGTTTTGAAATCATGAATAATGAGAATGATATATTGGAAATGCTTGACGAGATCGATGAAGGTAATGAATAACAATCAATAAATCTCTTCCAAATAAATATAACTACCTACCTAGCTGTATTATTGTGTTTCAACTTTCAATTTCAGAAGGGATATCTATGTCAGATGATTCATATATTGAATCTGATTATGATGCATCTTGAAGAAGTGATGGCAATTCAATAATAACAGATAGTGATGTGGACCATACAACTACTCCATCCAATTCCAGTGACAACAATGTTTCTTTCAACGAAAGTGCATTTTTGAGACCAGTTAGTGAACCAGTAAGTGATAAAAGTGTTCAAAGTTTCAGTAGTGATAGTGAGTCTGAAGAAAGTGACTGGGAAGAAAACATATTTGGTGACATTAATTTTGATAGTAACAGTGCAGGGATAAAAGTTGATATTAATGATGATTCTTCACCAATTGATGTATTTTTTAAAATTTGGGACAATGATATTTTTGATTTAGTTCTTACTTGTACTAATAATTGTCAAAAAAAAATAAATTCTTTAAATCGTCCACACACAAAAAATGGAAGAATGAAAAATGTAAGTCCACTTACTCGTACAGACACAAAAAAAGTTTTTTGACCTTTGTCTATTGAGAGGTCAGTTAAAACTTCCAGTATTAAGAAATGCTTTTAGTTCTAATCCCTTATACTATCATCCAATTTTTAATGCAACAATGTCAGGTAGAAAGTTAGAAAAAATTTTGAGATCTCTGAACTGTTCAGAAGGTGTAAGCCTAAACACCAGAGATAGATTGTATAAAAGTAAAATTTTAATGGACAAACTAATGAAAAAATTTCAAGACAGTTTAAGTCCAGGAGAAGCCTTGTCCCTTGTCTATGCTGCTTTGGCGCTGACGACTTATATTTAGGCAATACATTAAAAATAAAAAACATAAATATGGTATTAAGTTTTATGAGCTTTGCTCACCAGATGGCTATATACTTAATATTGAAATTTATAAAGGGAAAAATGTTGAAGTAACAGGTAATTCAAAAATTAATTATTTGGTTTTAAAACTAGTTAAACCATACTTGAATAAGGGACATCATCTTTACATGGATAACTATTATAATTCAGTTAATTTATCAAACTTATTGTATAAGCAAAGAACACACACCACTGGAATAGAAAAAACAATCCTACATCAATTGTAAAAAAAGCATTAAAATTAAAAAAGGAGATCATTATTTTACAAAATAAGGATCAGTTTATGTCAGTCGTTGGAAGGATAAGAGAGAAGTTTTTTCTATAACTACTGGCCATCATCCCAAAATGGTAACTTCATCTAATAGATTTTTTCAACAACAAAGTATAAAACCTAAACATATTGTTGAGTATAATAGAAATATGTCTGGTATTGATAGAAGTGACCAGATGATAAGTTATTATTCATCACCAAAAAAAACCATTCGCTGGTACAAAAAAGTAATTTTTCACTTGCTAGATATATCTATGTGGAATGCATATTATTTATATAAAAAAAAATTACACAATGTGAACCATCGTTATTTTGATTTCCACTCATCTGTAATAACAAAACTTCTTCATTTACCTGATAATATTGTACATGGCAGTCAATTAGTAAATAAAAAAAACATCAGAATAAGGACATCTAACCAACCAAGAAACACTTCAGTGGTATTGGAACATGTCTAAGAAAAAATACCTCATCCTCCAGGTATTATATTTTTATAATAATTAAAAAAGTTTTAAATCTGAAAATTGGGAACATTATTTCAGGTTGGAAAAGAAAAGGATATTACTTAAAATGTAGACAATGTACAAGCAGAAAACAAGTGAAACAGACTTCATGGAGGTTAAGAATTGTCCTGAAAAACCGCCTTTGTGCCCAGGGCCTTGTTTTTTAGATTATCATAATGTTGCTTAGGTTTCTAAGACTGTTTTTCATCTATATGACTATTTTAGAACCAGGTTTTTTATTTTTTTAAATTTAATTTTACTTTTATTATGAGGTTAATTTTTTTTTTTTTAATAATAGAAAAATACAGTGAGAAGGAGACACTTAAATTGAAATTGTTATGTTTGCTTTGTTACTATTATTTTAAAAATTGTTTTCAAATACATTTTAAATTCTTATGTTTCTGTTATTAGTTTTATAATACATAGAGTATTGTTTTTATTACTATTACTTATAAAGTATTAAAACTATTAGATATCACAGCAGGTAAGCTAAAAAGTTTATTAAAATTTAATTTTGTTTTATTAACAATACAATTTATGATACTATTTTTTTTAAATTTTTAATTAAATTTTGCTTTTAATATGAGATTAATTTTAATTGTTTAATAATAGTATAATTCAGTGAGAATAAGACATATAAATTTGATACAAGTTGAAATTGTTATGTTTGTTTTTATTACTATTATTTTATAAATTGTTTTTAGTATGATTTGATAATTTTAAATTCTTATGTTTGTTATTAATTTTATATGAACTATTATTTTTACTACTTAAAATGTATGATACCTATTAGATATCACAGCAAGCAAGCTATTAAGTATTATGAGATTTAATTTTGTTTATATAATAATAGTAAAATACTGTTAAGAGTGGACACTTATATAATAAATTAAATTGTTTTTTTTTTTTGTTTTATAAAATATTTATTGAAAATTGTTTTTCGACTATTGATTTGTTGAAAGTCTTAGTTATCAGCTAGTAAGCTAATACAAAATATTATGTCTATTATATTTCCATAATTAATTAATAAATATAATTTATGTGCATAAAAAAAAGTTTTTATCCTTTGAAATATTTCTAACTATGATTTTGAGTCTACCTAATTATATTAAGGATTATAGTTGGCCATCAATAGTGAATTTTGGTAAAAAAAGAAACAATAATATGCTATAGTATTCATGCCCATGACCAACTTAAAATAAAAAACTTAAGTCGTAGTGGCAATAGCATGCTATAGCAGTCAAGTATTTTTTTTTTTTGCAAAAACGATTTACTTTTAGATATTGATCATTTGTATATAAAATTCATCAGTATTAGACACTTGAAACTTAATAAATTAAACTGATCCAATAAGGGGTCAACAGTTGGCGAATGTTATAGCAGTCATGTCCATCAACGTGTTAAATAACTCAATAGTAAGATTATTGGATTCTAAATTAAATGATGATTATTCGATTATAAATCGATTATTCTATCAATAAACAATTATTTGATTATTAATCGATTATTCTATCAATAAACGATTATTCGATTATAATGGAATATTATTTAAATAATCGATTATTCCAGGGAAAAAATAATCGCACGGTCCTATTCATAATATGTTTGATAATTAGGAAGATTGCATACGAACTAAAGGCTGCATAAAAACTGAATTTCAATATAACCTTTTTATGATGAATTGAGTTCCGGGTTGTTTTAGAGTGTATAGGTGTACTGTACATCAATTAATTCCCGTGAAATTTTGAGTATAATACTAATTGAGTACATGTTTTAAAACTAACTGAGTCACGTCAAATTATAATAATAATAAAAAAAAAATCCTTCCCAATTGTACAGACTTAGGATTGTCTGTAACAAAAAATTTAACAGGTATACTTAAAAATATTTTATAATCTAATAATATAGGGGTATTGAATATGCATAATTTTTGTATAATTAAATAAATATAGGTATTGATAAAATAAAATTTTTATACTTTAAAAATTATAGGATAAGCATTGTATATATTCAAATATAGTTATTGTATTTAATTACAACAACCGCATTTGAACTCCGATTTCTTTTCTTTTATACAATTTCTTGTATTACTTTGCATTACTTTTCATGAATACTTTTAATTATTATGTATGTTTCACGTTGTACATTTAATAAAATGTTTATAAAATGGTAAATGTTTGGATGAGTAGAATAAAACATAGCATTGATTTTCGAATGAATGATTTACATATATTGGTGGTCCCCATCAATGAATATGTAAATAAGGCCCACATTAATAAGGCATAAGTGTGACAATTACTTATATTTTAAAAGATACCAGAACAGTACTTTTTTGTTTCGAGTGATGAGACAATGTAGCCTACTACTCTATGTAGTCGATGGAACTTTGCGTGTTTATCACAAAAGCCAAATTTAAATTTAGGAATGGCATATTACATTTGTGCAATGACAGTGAGTCTCTTGAAAAAGATTTTCTCGAATATTTTCCCGAGTGTAGGAAGTAGACTAATTGGTCTGTAGGACTCAGAGATATTAGGTGGTTTACCTAGTTTTTGTATGGTTATTATAAGGACTGATTTCCAAGTAGTTGAGAAATATGATAAACGAAAATGGTATTAAAGATATACGTGAGAAAGATGATGGTTTTTAGTCATTTTTAATTTTTCAACGTTTTTAATTATTGCATTGTTTATGCGATCATAATGGTTTATTTTTTTTTTAGTTTTTCACAACCAAGAGTACTTCTCCGGATGAGATAAGCGATTTTGCCAATACCATTGGTAGTGGTGATGAAACTAGTTGTTCCACTTGAAGTAGGTGAAGAGTGTGGTGAAATGTAGTTAGGTTTGAATGTATAGGCTAAATACTTGACCAGATATTTCTTGGAGAGTATAAGCAATACTAAGAGGAATAACTTTTTTGTGTTTTACAAGTGATTTGATTTTTTTCATAAAAACCTATTTGAGGGAAATAGAGATTAGAGATGGGTGGTATATAAGTGTTTTTTTTTACTTCTTGAGAGTAGATTTAAGTTTGTTAGTGTAATATTTGTAACGTTATTTGTCAACTGGGTAATGAATTCGTTTCCAAATATTACACGACCGACGATTGAGCAGAATAAGCTCATTTAATTCGAGAGTAGTATTTTTTTTTGGATATTCTTGAAATTAATAAATAGTAGTAGATATTTGGATGGTGTTTTGAATGTTTTTTGTTAGGGTACTTATGGCATTATCGATATCCTCAGAGTTTTTAAATTTTATATTAAAAAAGGAGTTAGTGGTCATAATACTACGAAACTTGTTATAATCTGTTCGCTTTTTGACGATTTGATTAATGTCGGTGTTGGCTTGAATTTTGAAAGTAATTGGTGTGTCATCTGATGCTGGATCATTTAGATTAGTGATATTTGTATACATATGATTAGATAGGTTGGATAGAAAAAAGTCGAGGAAGACAAGATATTTGTATGCGTGAGTTGGCTAATAGATTGGAGAATCTGGGTAAATAATTTTAGAAGGTTTATTTAATATAAGAATGAACATAGTACAGCCTCTCGTGTTCTTAAAGCGACAGTCCAGGCTTCGTATTTGGCGTTAAAATCGACACCGATGATGTGTGTGTTTCATAGCGAATGTGGATAAAGAGATGTTTTCTGAAAGAAAAGGGCATCCGGGTTAAAAATAGGTTGATGTTATTGAAGTAGGTATGGAGTTAATATTCACTGATTTAGCGATTAGTTGCAAATTATGATTTGATTTAGAAGAAAAATGTTAGTGGGGAATTATTTGGAAGACATTAATAGAACGGCACTAACGTGTGAAGCAGAATTGTCGGGGTGATTTGATTGGAAAGTCATGTCCATAAATTTAAAATGATGTGTTTGGTGGTGAGATGAATTTCGGTAATGAGAGCTATATCTACATTATTATAAGATTATTTTAAGTTTAAGATCAATATGGGTGTGAAAAGTACGGTGTGTCTAAACGAACTGAAAACAATATTTATGAGAAATATTTGTAATTTAATGGATATTGGGAACATTTATGATGAATAAATGAAGAAAATAAAAAACTATTATTTATTTTTTTATTTTTAAAATTGCAACATGAAAAAACGCAATTAAGGTATCAATAAGCACCTGAAGATGTTTTAATGTAAATGGCAAAAACAATTTATTGAACCCTGTTAAAATTTAGGAAATTTTAATTACTGCAGCCACAAAAATATTTTTTCTAATCTATAATTTATATTTATCGATATTGCTAAAATAAAATGTGTTTTCCTACTGTTATAACTTTTAATCTGTTTTCGTCGGAATATCTATTTCGTCTATTACTTTATCGCATAATTAAATTAATATTTTTTAGCACATAATTAAAATTAATAAATCTATAAAATAATTAAAATTAAATTATATAAAATAATTAAATCTCCTGTAAATTAAAAATATGTTTCATAATATTATAAAAATAATAATATCGTTTAAACGAAAAATTAATAATGAAAAATGTTATCTTCATCAAAACCTTATATTTAGACATTCTAGTAATTAAATTTGCCTATACCAGAAGATCAAGGATAAAATATGTTGTTACAAAAAGAATTAAAGTTTTAATAAACACATTGTCATTAATAACTCAATCTCAAAGGATATCAATTCATAATTATTTATATGTTCTTCTTCTTTCTTGGTTTCGGCCATTCAAGACCATACCTCTAGATAAACATACTGCCACCTATCTCTATCCTCTGCTACTTCCTGCCAATGAATCTCCGGCTCCACTGTTTTGGCGTCTCTCTTAACGCAATCTTCCCATCTTAAGCGCGGTCTTCCAAGAGGTCTCCTCCCCACTGGGTTTTCCTCTATTACTCTTCTTATTAATGAGTCATGCTTCCTCCAGGCATGTCCTGCCCAAACTAGCCTTCTTTTTTTTATCTCTTTCAGTATATCCGGTCGCTGGAAAAGGGATTGCAGTTCTTCATTGTGTAATTTCCTCCATTCATTTGTGAGAACATCAAAGTATGGCCCATAAATTTTCCTAAGTATTTTTCTCTCAAACACTGCTATCCTTCGTTCTTCAGTCTTTCTCAGAGGCCACGTTTCTGCTCCATAGAGGACAATTGGCCTTAGCAAATTAAGTACATTCTAACTTTTAGGTTCTTAGAAATTGCTCTTGATTTAAAAATTTTACTAAGTCCAAAGAAACATTTATTAGCTGATTGTAATCTCATTGAAATCTCTGTTTTTATGTCGTTATCTTGAGTTATAATTGACCCTAAGTATTTGAATTGATCCACTCTTTTAAATTTGTATCCTTCTACTTCGATGAATTCTTCTTGTACCAGATTCCCATTTCTCCGACTGACCACCATGTACTCTG